CTCCCGCGGCAGGGCAGGGGGCGTTAGCCGGGCTGTCCCGCTCGGCCTCCGGCCTGAGGCCTGCCTTCGTCTCCCCTCAGAAGGGGACTCGGGGCGTGCTCCCAGGCGGGCCGCTCTGCCGACCCGCCTTGGGCCGCCTGGAGGGCGGGCGAGCGACGGGGACTGCCGCCCTTGGCTTCTCTACCCCGCGGTGGTTTTTGCTTTTGGAGTTGCGGTTCGGCGTAGCAAACGCTTGTCTTTGCCCAGGAGCTGCTTGATGGGGTGTCTGCCTTCAGGTGGCTTCCTTACAGTCACGAAACGGCATTTGCTGCGCTTGGAGGGGCTTCAGTAAGTGTCCTGTGCACCTTCCATGGCGTGATTCCTTAGGCTGGCTTTGTTCTCTGCCCTTTCATTTTCCCATTAACGAGGATTTATTTATATTTTCTGTTTGCTCACTAGAAATTGAGAAGGAATGTATCAGGAGGTAGGGTCTTTTTTTCTCTTTTTAATTTCTGTTTGGGGAGGTGGGCGGTTCAGAGACTGGGTTTGGTTGTTTTACAAATAAAGACCCGCAAACAGACAGGTACTGTCTTTGCTTCTGTTAATGGGTGAGGAGGAAAGGAAACCAAAGGCTTAAGCTTTTCCTGCTGTCTTCCATGCCTCTTTCTGCTCTTGATGCCCTTGGAAATAGTTTTCTGCATGAAGATGCACGATACCCTGTATTAGAACACTTTCTGTGAAAACTTGAATGGTGTTTCAAAACTGAAAGCAAGGTGTTCCCATGTTGCGCGTGATTCTCTAGAATGCGTGTATTGTATCCCTCAGAAGAAGCAGGCCTGGTCTTCGGTCTCCAAGCTGAAATGCAGCCTGTTGCTCAAGTTTCAGGTGGGCTTGATTTGGTAGTTGCCTGAAAAAGGGATACTAGCAGTTAACTTTTACCATAAATATTTCCTGTTATCACAGGATGGTAGTACCACATGCCACTGGAACGACTAGAGAAGTCAGTAACCTCGAAGAGCACACTTCCTCCGACATCCCAGATTCCAGGCCTCAGTGACCTTGCAAAAGCTCCCTTTGAAGCTGTGCCGGGGTGCCGCAGGAAGTGGATCAAAGAGACCGATTCAGCTTACGTCAGGCTGGCAAAGCAAGGAGGCCGACATGGTGAGCATCTCTCTTGCTTGTTTGTTTTTCCTTTGATTTCTTTGGCTTTGCTTGAGTGTGGTGGTAGAAGGTGCCTGTAGATACTACAGAAGAATCCTCTGGAGTTTTGAAATTAACCTATAGAAAAAATGAGTGCCTGAAAATCTGATGTAAGAGGTCACCTTGTCAAGACATACTTGCAGTCTATTGTATATAGGTACCTTTTAGCAAAATGTGTAGTTTTGCACTGTATCTGATCTAAGTAGAGGATGATGATTTAGCTGTATTTGAGTGAGATCTTTACAATTTAAGCTTGTGCTGTTTAAGTAACGGTCTGGTGAAAATGATGTCACAAGAAAGCATCATCAGAAAACTTGCTAGAGGTTTATAAAGTGTATTTTGTGATGGCATTCAGTTTGTTACATTGCTGTATGTATTCTGTTCTTGTACCAAGGTGATCCATGGTTTTGTCATTTCCTTTATTGAAGAAGGAAGCTTGAGGAACTTGAGCAGATGCGTTGCATGCACACTTAGAGCAGGTTGACAAGTGCAGAAATACGAATTAACAGACCAGTATAAACATGTCAAAGCATTTAGAGCAAGATAAACAATGTACAAGTGGAACGCAATGGTGCAAGGTTCTGACTGTTTTATCAAGGGAGACAAATGCTCCTTACTGAATAAAGCAAGCATTTCTTCCTGATAAAACAGCAACCTGAAAACAAAGGCAATGCTTTTGCAACCAGATAAGAAGTCAGAAAAGTAGTGGCTTTTGTCTTTTTCTCTCAAGACCTACTGAAGCACTACACTCCTGTGACAACGAAGTCTTCTCCAGCAGCATATGCTGCACCTGACTGGTACTCACACTGCTCCAATCCCCCAGCGACCAATGAGCCACGGTAAGTCTGCTGAGACCCCTCATAACTTCTTGGGTTCTCTCTTCACATGTTAGTGTTTTGGAATACTTTTGTACTAAAGTGCAAGGTACGTATCCCTTGTACAAACAAGTGTTAAATCTCTGCCTGCAGGAGCTACGTTTCCTCTCTACCAGATTATATGGTTCACAGAGAGTTTAAGGCTGATGACCATCATGGTAGTAGTTATGAGACAAGAAGAGGGCCTTTTGATTTTGATATGAAAAGTGTTTGGCAGCGGGATGCTGAGGACAAAGAAAACGCAGAGAAAAAGAAGGTATGATGGAGAGGCACTCTGTGATGATGCTTTGTTTGTAGAGCTTGTGAAGATACTTCTAGACGCTTCTAAGAACTTGTGGGTTCTTACAGAAAGGGAAGCTGTAGGCCACACCACTTTCTCTATTCCAGAAGCAATTTTTATATTAGAGAATGCGAAGAAAACTGTGTTTCTCTTAAGTGCCGCAGCTATAGCATGTGAACCATAAAAGCAGTTACCAGTCACAGTATATGGTGTGTATACTTAAGTGTGAATGAAAGCCAGCAGATAGTTTCCATGTTCTTGTGCTTTATTTCCCCTGCAATTACACTTAGCAAACAGAATTCCTGTTTAGTGATCTTGGGAGAGGAAGGAACAGAAGACTGTTCCAAAAAAGGGTTTCATTTTAGTTTGAAATGCAACAGTCCCCAAAGATACTGCACTACCTGTCTTTGAATGGAAGATGTATTCCAGATAAAATAAGTATAGCACAAGCTATGCCCAGAACAAACCTTTCTGTGATGATCTTGGCATTTTGTCCTGGAAACGTCCCTGTCTCATCCTCCCCTCCCCTGCCCATTTTAGATGCTGAAGCCTTATTTTTCTTAATGTCCTCCATAATCTTGGTTGCCTCATTGCCTGTGGAATATCCATGGCAAGGCACTTGATGTACTTGAACATGAGTACCTCCCTTCTTGAATGGAGGGGCAGATGTTGGACATGTTAGGGGAAAAAAAAGTCCTTAGCTGACATGAGTAACTAGCACAAATTCAGAATGATGGCTTGTGTAAATGGGAACACCTCATTTCTGAATAGGCTTGGGAATGTTTACTTAATTGGCGGAAACAGACAAACAAGCAACATATAGTTAAACTATAATTTGCCTGATGCTTGTAGGTGAAGCTTTTTTCAATCAAAAATTTAAAGCACTGAAAATAGAAACTTAGCCTGCCACAGACTCTCTTAAAGGATCCAGCTAGGAGGGAGAGGAAGTGCTGTCCCTTGCTCCCTTATTTAAGAACCAATTATCTTCTGTGCTCGAAGAGTCAAATTTAACTTTGATAACAGTAAGTGTAATTCAAGTCGATGTGGTGACTGGTAAAGTGAGACTGAGGTCCATTTCTGTTTGGGTGGAGTTTGATGAAGACCCAATTTCATTCAGTCATGTGAATGAAAGTTCCCATGTGTTTTATTTATCACCAAATACAAAGTGAATATATGTTATATATTGAGCTCAGATTCCAAATCTGCTGAGACACTGATACATAATTTACACTGCTCTTCTGGAAGCTGAAGTTGAGTTTCGTCTAAGATACTAAATCTACCAAACATTTTTCTTTAAGATTAGGTGCCTGAGGAGGCACACCTTAGGTCTATGGCTTTAGCTCTACCTCCATACCACCATCTCTGAAGTGGCTGTCGTTCACAGTACCTTTCTTGTACCCTGAAAAGTGTCTCATATCTTGAAACATCACATGGTGCTTCTTTCACAGCTATTTCTTGTATCTCCTCTTATAGGAGGTTTCTGTCCCGTACTTTAAGAGTACCTTAGTGAAGAGTCTTCAAGTGAGACAACGTAACTAGCCCTACCGAACAGTCTTGATTTTAGTTTTTTCACCGTATATTTTGTATGTTGAAATGTAAGAGTTGTATTCCAAAATGCCACAGGCAAATTTCTAAGGAATATTCAATTTGACGATGTGATGATACTGCAGCAGTAAACTACTTCAAGTATTGGACTGAACATATTGAAAATATTTTTCAGTCCAGTCTGACTAAGCAGTTCAGAACAGAGATGGGTGATGCAATCATGGAGATAAATCTCAAAGGACTCCCTTAGGGACAAGTGCAAAAACATTTTAACCTCTAAGGGTACCTTCTACTCAGTTTGGAAAACATCGTTCCCAAGTGGGCCCTTGCTCTGGAGCTTTAAGCCTTTATGCCACTTTGTTCTAAGTATTAAAATCTCCACCGCTCCTCAGACTATGGTTATCACTGCGTAGAGGAGGATTGAAGGTCAGGGGGACCATGACCTGGTTCTCCATGCCTCGGGTTGGATTCTGTAGTTCCTCCCTAAAGCCTTAATCACAGGGACAATTCTCATTCTGGGAATTTGGCAAAGCAGCAAAGACATGTTAGTGCATGAAAGATTTAGCCTTTGTGCTCATGGCGAAGTGATAGACTACTAGCCCAGGTGGAAGCATCCTTTTGCCTATGCATCATGTGGACGAGCTGGGTTGGATTGAAAATGCTGTCACCTTAAGAAAGAGGCAGGCCTGTATATGGGTGGGAGATCAGCTGGAGGTGGTATCAGGATTAGCATCAGCATTAGGCAATCTTCCTGTAGCACCGTGAAGATTGGTACGTCATGTCTGAAGTCATCTCTTTCAGGCAGTTGCCTGAAATGTGTGTGTGTGTATATGCATAGATACATATGTACTGTAGCAAAAGGATTACTCATCTGAGGTCAGGATTTTACCTCAGAGACAGATTTGGAATGTAATCTAGAATTTTTCCTTTGCTTGCAGCGAAGCCAGGATTTCATCTGAAGGCTTTTAGCTTTCATGTTTTTTTTGCATCTGAGACTAATAAATGTGGATGTATAATAAATTTGTGTAGTAATTTTTAGGGTATGTCATTGCCATCTCTTCGCAAAGGGAGAGAACACTTTAAACCAAGAACATGTAATAAATGTCCTACATAGTTTGCTTTATCTGGGAAACTTGACGGCTGTTAGAGGCATGTCAAAGCGAAAATGCCTCCTCAGCTATAACCGTTGGGGCGTAGTGCCACAAGGGTCTGCTTTTAATGCTGAATTTGCCCAGCAAAATAACAAGCAGCACCTGATGGGATTGTAGGTGCCCTCCAATACCAAATTCTGATCTGTTCCCTTGCTCCTTTTGTCACTTGTTTGCCACTTTGAACAGTAGGGAACGTTTTGATACCTGCAAGTTATGCTAACCTGTCTCATTAATACCAAGAAGAGAAAGATGATGTTTAAAACAATGTGCGAGACTTGCTAGCACCCTTCAAGTCTTTCTTCATTGCTTTTCTTTTCCCCATTTTTCCTTGACTTTAGTTTTGACATTTGTGCCTCTGTCTATCTATAGACAAAATCTCCCTCAGCTTTTCTCTTCCTCCTGCCCCTTTAATTAACTCTTTAATTACTAGACTTCCTTTTCTAATGCTTCTCTTCAATGCAAAGAGGAAAGTCTCACCTCTTTCCATTTACTATTTGTATATCCTGCCTATCAAATCAAGTTGTGTTTCTGTGTTGCCCTGTGTGCCATCATGCCTTCGATATGTGACAAAAGTTACCTAAGACTGATGATTTCTACTTGTCTAATTAAATTGTTTTTGTCAGTTGAAACTGTAGGTGACTGTGTCCTGGATCTGAAACTTCCACGGTACGGCAGATCTGAAATGGTACAGTTTAATGATAGACAGAAAACAGCACTATATTTTTTTGCACAATAGGATAGAATTTTGAAACGTATTTGTGAATAGGCTGCTTCAGCAGAGTTAATGGATTTGAAAAGCAGCTCTAAGCAGCTAACAAGTTTTTTAACCTCCAGGTTGGACAACAAACCCCCCTCTTCCTCCAACATCACTGCATGCCCTTGCTAGTCTCATCTCTTCTTCTTTGACAAGTGTCCCAGTTTTTAGACTTATTAAGCTTCAATATAACATTAGTCAGGCTGAAATCTAGAAGTTCATCCACTAATTCTTTACCAGATTCTGAAATTTTTCCTCTGGTGAAACTCTGACTCCACTGAAGTCTGTAGGGGATTCAGCACTGACTTACATTGGTTTGCATTGATATCCTGTTTGAGAATGAGTGGAACTGTCTGTCTAAGGTATCACTTTCTCCCAGGGTGTTCAGGTCTGCTTCTTTTAGTGGCTTGTTAATGATCAGGTATATTCAAATGCTATGTTACTTTTCTTTGCTCTTTCCATGCTAAATGTGCACAGGGTCCTTCAGAAGTCCATGGTGCATTTGCATCTATTTTGGAATCTTCTCCTCATGGATGTTTTCATGGGAGTTGGTTTGTAGTGTCTGCAATCCAAGTGCATCTGCAGATGATGCATCTAATTCTTGCACTCTGTTCATAATTTTTTGCTCTGTTAACTGTATTGCAGTAGGTATGTCCACATAGGTGAAAGGTATCTTTATTTTTAAAGTAACAGAGCAATACACTTCTAGTTACTCTGTCCTGATTTTTTTAAAATAGCCTGCAAGTAGTATCTCTTATCCTATGGGGCGCTCTCGTGCATTGCATGTTTAAGAGAGAAAATGGTCAAATAATATGTAGGTTCTAATTAAAAGGATATATTGGTATAACACAAAAACTTTGTTAACAAGCTCTGAAAATTTGTGCTATCTTCACAACTTCTTTCCCCCCTGTTTTCTTCATGCAATGAAGGAAGGTGTAAATAGTCTTAAAAAACACTTTGTTTTTTTTTCTTTAACCTCAGAATTTCTTAGCGGCTATTAGTGAAAGATATCTGGGAGTTGTTGGGAATATTTAATTTAATGCTTTTATTTGGAAGGGAAGTAAGTTGACCCTTCCACAGTTGTTGATTTTGATCAAAGTTAAAATAAACAGCTTTAGCAACACGTATCAATGTTTCTCCATTACTTTTCAGTTTTCCAACTTTCAGTCTTAGAGTTTGTGTTGTCATTTCACTAGCTTTCTAGGCGTTGTCTTATCTTCCTGTCTTTCAGTCAACACTGAGTTACTCTACCTGTCATTAGCAAGTGAAAGATGATAAAAGTAAAATACACTTTTCTGTGGTAGCCTTCTCCCAATATATCTGTATTTGTTTGGATTTCAAACATCTAATTAATGTACCACAACTATTTTCTTTTTACATGGGATATTTTTATGCTTTTTTATAAAAAAATAAATGTGGTAATTAAACTGGAAATGAATTTCTGGTCTCGCTGACTTTAGTAAAACTGTGACTTTTATCTTACACTGCATGTAGAGAAATGAGCCAAGGCGAGAAGTTGCAATGGGTAAGTTTGAATTTGAAGCTTAGCTTTGGGTAGAAGCGTTCTGTGAGGGGAAAAGCTTGTGGAGAGCCCATTTTGCATTGACATACTGAACAAACAGCTGATCTCATCTAGAATCACTAAGGTGCTGCTGTATCTTTTGCTTTACATTCCTGCACCCTTATTTATGGAAACAATATAGATAAGAGTAAAATTTGAAGATATTTAGGGCCTTTAATATAACCTTCACTTTTGAAGGGTTTTTTTTGTCATAACTCTTAAGTTACGATTTCTCTAACACAGGTAAAGCTCCCAGCTATAAACCCTAAATATCCAACCAGAATGCCGAATGTTTCTACAAACAAGGAATTTAGTGGGAAAAATAAGCTTTCCTTCCCACCTATGTAAGTAGTACGCTTATGAAATTCATTAAGCTCCTAAGCCTGCAACTATTTGTGCATGCAAGTAATATTACTCCTTGTGAAACTGCAGATATCAGTGGATGTGTGTATGGACTTGTGTATCCTTACTGCTACTAAACTTGCTATCATATGCAATAGTAAAATAGTTTTGCAAACAACTGAAATAATAGCACTTTAACTCATATAGGAAAGTTATTCATTATAACTTTGCTTTAGGAAAGCTAAGCATACAGTTGCGTGTCTTCATATATAATGCTTTTATTGTATTCTAAATTGTCTTTTTTTTTTTTTCCTCAATACCAGTTAATAGATGCAACCTATAACATACATTGTTAGTTTCCGTAAGCATAGGGTACAGAGATGGTAGGACCACCATTTTAAGAAAATACGTAAACTGTAGCCTATATAAGATCAGGCACAGCAAAAATGAACACCTGGAAGATGATAGTCTTTTAAGCAAATTATGTCACCTGTGATGTGATGTAATCACATCATCAGTTGTGTGCACAACTGAATTGGTTTTGCCTGCTTTGTCTTAAAAATTTATTAGTCATCAGTAATCCCAGTATGTTTTAGAAATATGTTAATAATGCAAAATAAGTGATTAAACTGTCTAATGAACTTAGGAGCAAATCTGGGACAAAATTTCACCTTCTTGCAGCACAGAATGAGTATTGTCAGCCTTTTTTACTTACACATTCTTTGTGTGATTTCCCTTTTTCATCTCTTAAGACCAAAGCTGTGTAAGTATTATACATGTTAAGTTCCAATAAAATGGATAGCTCTTCTCATGTAAAATTACATGTTACTGAATCAAGTGTAGTTGTGTGCTTTGTTGGTTTTTTATTTGTTTGTGGGGGGGGGTTTTACATGATTACATGTAGAATATATGTTTAGTTACTTAGAAGTAAATTATGTTATAAGGCTATTGCCCTTTCTGTGCAAAATAAAATTTTGCCACCTAGTCCCCATTTTTGATAACTTACGTTATTGTTTTCTCTAATACGTTTGGACTTGCAGGCCAGCTCAGAGAAAAAGTGAAGCAGTAAACTTTAGCAAATTAATTAGCAATGGTTATGGGACCGACTGGTTTCAACAGTGTACTGCATGGGAAAAAAAGATTCACGAAACATCAGAAAATAGTCAGCAGTCCAAAGGTAAAATTATTGAAAGCTGTTTCTTTTAAAGCGAGTTGGGATCTCAAGGTTAACAGCAGAGGGTAGCCTGAATAAGTTGTGTGGTTCTCGTTGAATATAGTGAGACTTACTGAGTTACCATGCATACCCTATAACCAGCTAAACAAAAAGGTGGTCCTGTTTGTAGTCAGTGAGGGCAGGGATTCTAATGGATTTTTTCATTTTTACAATTGCAGAAGTATGCTCTGTTGCAATCCAAGGCCTTCTGTGTCTCCTTTTTTTGTAAAATGCTGCTGAGACATAGCCGTCCTCCTGCCTAAATTGAAGCAGACCGTAAAACATTTGTTGCCCGTTTTTTGTGAATAGTCTTTAGCCCCTAATATTTTTCTCAAAACTTGGGAAAAATGTCATCAATACTCATGTTTAAGAAATAGATCACTATTCATAAAAATTTGTCAAAATAAATATGTGTATCAGTGAAGACAGTGGAGTTGCAACAGTTTTATTGGAAAGAAGAACAGTTATTCAATGTTTACCTATAATTTCAAACCTTACTTTGTCATGCACAATGGTAATAGCTATGAAGTGCATCAACTGAAAACAGTTACAAAGGTTAAAGGGTGGAAAATTCCTCTTCTGTCAAAGACCTTTTGCTTAGGCTTTTTACAGTGACTTGGTAACCATGGTGGGAATATCAGTTTTTATAGCAACCTTTTAAAATGCTATTAAACATACACATTACAAGCATCAGAATTTTCTTTTCTTTTTTATTTGAGTCAGTGAATGCTTGTGTAAACACTGGGGATTGCCATGACTCCCTTGACCTTAAAATATCAATGTGTGGAAGTCTTAGAAGCCAGTTAATTTAGTTTCTGTGACACTTTAGCACTTCCTGAATTCATCTTTGTCTTCCATTAATATATCTACAGTAATATTTTTTGTGTGTTTGTGCAGAACCTCTTCCTGCAGGTGAGTATCAGAAGAAAACAGGCAAACAGAAAATTAGTAGTTGTGTGTTGTTCAGAAGGAAAACTGCTGTAAAATTAAGGGATGAAGCCAGATCTCGGTCTGGACCTCAAAGAGGCTGCATAACCTGAGAAGCCACTCTTAAAAGTCAACTTAAGTATCCAAACTCGGATCATGCAGAGGTTGCCTCCTTGGGAGGCACAATGACCTAACAGTTCAACCATGGAGCCTAAAAGTGCTCTTCCTTAGCATGAAAAAGAACCTTGAATATTCTTCGCTTGTCTTCAGATCCTGTTGAACTTTCTTGTGCACTGACATTTTCCTTTTCCATTACTGTGAGTAAAATGAAAGGATTTGGGATTTTCGAAACCTCAAATTCATTCATTTGGTGATAGTTGATTTCTTTAATGTGAAGTGTGTCTCTAATGGGACATTTGGGATATAAAGCAAGCTGAAGATTTTTTTAGAGTAATCATGATACTGGTTTGGTTATATGAGTTAGGCACAGAGAACAAAATGGTGGGTATACTGTAAAGGCTGCTGAAAAGTCAGTATGCTGCATAGTTTGATATATAGGTACATCTTATTTTTGAGATGCTTTTATTTCGCAAACATAATACCTGCTTTGCTTGTATTGCCCCCTTTTGTCAATTATAGCTATATTCCAATTGAGATTGATTCTGTATCTCAATGTAAAAGGAGATTTATTTCGTTTTTATGCTCTTAACAGTGTGATTTCATTCAGACATGTACCTTGATTCAGTTTTGACCTTGTCCTTTTCATTCAGATATGCACTGAAGGTAGTACATGTATTTTCTTCCCGCTTGGTACTTTTGTCTACTTATCCAAAGCAATTGGCAGCATAAGCACTATGCAGCTCTCTTTCAAGATGGAGCTTTCTCTGTTATCTTTTGCACAGCGTAAGTCCAAGACACATCATACAGGAGATACAACCCATTCCATATGTAAATCTATAATCCATTTGTGTTGGGTTGATTTGCGTCATACTGCAAACTTTGTTCATAGCTTGTCTGTCTTGTTAGTTAAAAATTAAAAGTACTGGAATTTGTATGTGTGTTTATGTGAGAGAGAAACTGAAAATTTTAGTTGACCTTTTTATTCTTATGGTTGAAGTTATCCTAAGAACTTTAATCTTTTTTTATTGCAGATTCAGAGCCATCGAAGTCTGAATCAGCACCTGCAAGCAATGAGTCAAAGCCGCAGTTTTAGGGATGTAATAAGTAACTTAAAAGACTACTGGGGAAAGTAAACCCATATATGGCTTATATAGTCCACTATTTACACATTTGTTAGATTATTTTTTATAGTTGAACTCATCCCTGATTGAGAAGTTAACTCGGTTTCTAACACAGATGAACTTCATTGCACTTAATTACAGCAAGTTTTAAAGAACAGGCAACAGCTGTCAGTGCATGTTCCTAAACTTTTTCTTAATATAATAAATAAAGTAAAACTGAAGTTCTGTCCTACACCAGACTAGTGCTCCTTTGCTATTGCCGAATAGGGTTACGATATTGCTGCTGATTTGACTAAACACAAGCTTTATATCGATGTGTCCAAACCAGCAAGTTTCTTCGTTTAACTCCAGTTATACTCATGACCTGTGCCGTAAAGAAAGGTGAAGGGGATCTGTATGGTATGGGATGAAGTGTAAATAGAATGAATTGAACTCGTATGGATACTTGCAGTAAAAACGTCAAACCTTCACTGGGAAGATGGCTTCTTAGTCCCAAAAGCCCATTTATTTAGACCAGATATTGAGCTTTCTAGGACAATTCCACTGCTATGCCTGCTGCATAAGAACTAGTTGATCAGTCATAGTGTTCAGCCACATACTTAAACTAAGACCTAGTGGAATTTCCTGTTATAGTCTTGTTATATAGAAGATGACTCATTGGGTAACAGTGGTGCGGACTAGGCTATGGATGATGTCTGCGCTTTCAGCTGTTAAATAAGAAAATTATTTATCCTGAAGTTTTGACTGCAACAAAAATACTATATGTTAGATGTCTGTGTTTATTCACACCAGCAAAACAGTTTGTACTTTGAAATAGCTATGTATAGAAATTATTTTAGTATTTTGAAGAAGTTAGATACACTGATATTTTAATACTTGTTTTTTTATCTACTTAGAGTATATCCCTGAAATCTTAAAAATAATTAAATATTTATTATAAAGCCCATTAGAAAGTGGATGCAATTTCAAGAAGATATTTTTTTGATAACACTATGAAAAGTGGAAGTTTTTAATAAGTAAAATGTTAATTTTTAGTTTCCTTTTCAGAGTGCACTCTACAGTGTACTCCATTGAATCCAAGAGCTGAAGATTTTAAAATGTATTACTGAATATACATTTCTTTGAATAGAATGTTTAGAGGATTTGGCTTAACAGTGCTTGTCCTTCAAACTTTGATATGAAAATTGATTGGAAATCGGTAAACCTCTTGCTAATCTGAACCCTCAAAATTTTCCGTGAAAGTTTTGCTATTGATGTTATTAGACCCAGCATTTGAGTCGTCTTTGCTGTTCATTCTAACCAACAGTTCAACTAAGTTGTATTTAAAAAAATAAAAGGCTAAAACATATGCAAATACCTAAATGTACAGTTATTGGCTATTCAGCACAATTTTCCAAATATAACAAAGTTTACATCAAGCTGTATCTGAGAGGGGGAAAAAATTATTGCTTTATATCTGTTTTCTTTACAATTTGTATTGTGGATTATGTTCAGATACATTGAAACCATTAATTTTGCTGTGAAAGGAGAGCTTTTGATGAAATCTACTTTTCTAGGCTAGAGTACCAGGCAATGCCAGAGCTGGAGCTCATAGTATTAAAACCTAACCAGAAGACAAACTGTCAGCTATCGTTACAGAGAAGAACTAAAGAATAAGCTTGTGTGAAGAAATTGTGTATGTATAACAGGCAAATTGTTGATACCCTTAGGACTTCAACTATAAAATTTTAAACCTAATGCAGTAATTGCCAGTAGCTGCATGATGTTCTCCAACAAGTAAGTATAATTTTATGAATCTTTCAGAATTATTCAGTCATATGAACATGCCTTATCTGGGAATTCACCTATCTTTAGTTGATAAAGTCTGTGGATAAGTTTTAATTTTTTTTTTTTTTCCCCCCCCCCCCCCGACACTAAAAAGTGTAATAGAAGGCTGGATTTGTTGTGCCCGCCAATGGTAAACTGAAACAGTAAAATAAGTTCTGTGTATGATAGCCTTTGTAGCATACTTTAAGGGTATAACTATCAGGAATAATACTACTTTTCAGTCCTGCTTTGATCTTCTGACTCCTATTACCATAGGAAAACGTTCTTTTACAAATACTATTTCCAGTGACACGCTTTACTGGCCAAAACAGAAAAGAAAGGGGAAATACACAATGGTGATGAAACTCTCTGGAGTTAAGTTGCTTAACAGTAAGCCTTTGTTTTAAAGCTTATCAGTTGAGCAAGAAGATGTTTTGTTCTTAAGCATATATGGAATCCATTTCACACTTTTTTTTTTTTTTTTTTTTTAGAAAGTTTTGTGAAAGGTATTTAGTACAAATTTACTGAAAAAGTTGGGGACAGTAATGTTATGACAAAAACAGCATGGGCAGTTAAAAGTATTTACAGATTTATAGTTCACCTGTACACATAGACTTGAAGCTGCTTGCTGCGCCAAAGCCCTCAAGATCTATTCCATAAAATAAGAATTCCAGTGTTGCTGCAATACTGCTGATCTGCACACTAGAATTCTAATCGTTCTTTTCTATATGATGGTTGTCTTTTATCATTAAGATCTGTAAAAAGTTTCTTTTGAGGTGTTTGATGTCTCAGTCCTCTTCACTTTTGAACACGTCTTTCCTCAGTGTTGGAGGAGTTCTCCAAAACTGTCATATTTTTAGGCAATTGTTAGAGGCAGAGACAGAAAGACAACAGAGATCCTGACTTGGTCACTCAGCACTGTTATTTTGCTGTAGTTGTGTTCTAAGAAGTGTTTATAATGCTGGTTTTCAGACATTTTAAAACTGTACCCTATATCCTATTGTAAAAATTATCTCTTTTTACCTTGGTCACCAACAGGTAATATCCACGTGACATTCCTCAAATTCTTAAAAGTTTGCTAACCTGCCATTAATGTATATTCAGCTTTCTGTAGTCAAGCCAAGGAGGTGTTTGATCTGCACTGTCAGTCAACTGTGTCTTCATGGATCACAGTATGAATACCATGAGTTAGAATATTAACAGCCTGAAGTGCTACTTCAGACTAAGATTTCTCTTTCTAAGAGCAGGTGGAGAACCCTGGAATTTGTGTTTGTGCGTTCACAATAATGGAGAGCTGCAGCAGAAGCGTAACTTAACAGCTCTCCAAGTGACATCAAATCGAAGTAGTGTAACAAATCCCAGAATTCCAGCTGAATTCAAGGATGGAAACGTGTTGCTCGAGTTCACCTTACCCCATTAATTATATTTTATTTACTTCTGAGTTAATGCAGTCATACAACTGGCAGTTTTCAAAGTCATCAGCAGTTCCATGTCAAAGCAGTGGAAGCCGCCGGGTCTAGAAGAGTTGCCAGTGTTTGCTCTTCAGAGAGATGTCAAAGTCAAAAGCTGGGTGCTTACTTAAAAATCTAGTCTTATTGTTTTAAATGCTGAAATATTTATTTAATTGTGTTATGCTCCATCTCTGACCTGAATGCCTTGAAATAGTGAGATCATTTCTTTTTTTTTTTTTGAATACTGATTGCTTTGCAAGCCCAAAGATAAAACAAAAGTGCAGTTACATTTTATGAATTACATCCAAGTATACTGAATATGTGAATGTTTTTAAAAGAGAATTCCAGATACAGATTTTTAAAATATTTAGAAATATTTTTAAAAATACTTGGCGGTTTAGGTACTGAAGAGTCATTTTCCTTTTACATGCAACCATTTAACTGTAGAAAATTCTAATGGCTGTTTTCATTTTAATGTGACCGAATATATAATTCATTCTTACCACTTATGTCTTTTTAGACTAGACTAAAATATAAACATGTTTTCAGAGATCAAGGCTAAATATACGTTAACTTCCTTTGTGTTGCAATGCCAACAAAAACTGAATTGTCCGATGCATTTCTTACGCATCTAAAATTTGTCTTCAGCATATCTATTTCTTAACTATTCATATCTGTGCTGAATGTGAAGACTTAGTTGTAAAAGATATAGGATGAAGCCCAATTATTTTTCTGTAAACAAATAGCCTAATATTCTGTTTTTGCAGTTTTCTGCAGAATAATTTTTTCATATGCTATAGACTGGAAAAAAGCTAGAAATGGAAATGTAGACATTCAGTCACAGCACATTTTGTCATCTTATTAATAGTTTTAATGATATTAAACATCCAGAATGGACGGAGCATCAAAATGCAGTAGGTAAGGATCTGAACAGTTATACTGAATTAGTTGACTGATTGACTATAAAAATGGTACACGGTGAGCAGGAAGGAGTATACTTTTGATTATAAAAGGACAGACAGTCTTAATTTCCACAGATGCAAGTTTTCACCCATGCAATATAGACATCAGAAAAGTAAGGCCAGTTGCAGGCTTTGTAATTTATTTTCATAATAATCCTAGTATGTAGTTGTTTATTTTTCACCCTTCTAAAATAACATTAATGAACGTATTTTGTATTTTTGCTTGAGGTATCTTCCCCACTAAAATAAAATAGAAAATGAAATGAAACCCCAAAGATTACAAAAACAGAAGGTTTAAAACCAATTTAAATTTTAAAAGGGTTTTCTAGAGATAACAGAGCAAAGATTACTACCAATTATGAGACTCGTAGAGATGCATTATTTATTGAACGTTTCAGACAAGGTAACTATAGTAACCTGATTATTCTTTATTTACAAAAGAAGTAATTTACATTGATTATTCTCTTCATACATGGCTTTCAGGAGGTTTGTCATTCAGCTAAAGCAGATTTTTCAGTGGACCCCGAGATGGAGGAGTAAGTAATATTCCTGTTTAAAGGGAAAATTTCTTCCACAGAATTAAAATACTGTTCTGAGGTGCTCATTTTGGATTGTCTGCTACCATAGCTTTCAAGTTTTGACAAATATTCAAGGAAAAGCAAAATGAAGACACATTAGGAGGCTGTGCTTCTATTTTTCCTATTAGATATTTAAATAAGTTGAGCAGGTGACGTTTTTCTTAGTTTGTTAAGC